TTAGGAAAAAAAAAAAAAAAAAACTTGCATTTTAACATCAACACTTTTCTCGTGATTACAAAAAATGCAATCGAACTGAGTGTCGAGAACAAGCTTTTTCTTGACCACAGGCTTTCTCTTGGTTTTACGCTTTCCCATCGCTTATGATCTTATAAAACGATCCAAATGGCGGAAACACAAAGAGAAAGATGCTATTGTGACGAAGTTCAAGGTTTGGTGTCCTAACTAACTAAAATTACGGATCATCGTACCGACGTTTATAAGTAACATCTTATACATATACACTTCCCGTGACCATTTAAATTTTGTGTATATATATTACTATTTGAGTATAGATCGGCATACGTCCAAAAGATAAAATGGATAAGCCTCAGTTGATTCTGGCTTTATATTCTGCATTTCCTTCTTTTCTGCGAGTGTTTAGCAATTTGCATATTTCTGGATCAACCCTTCTGCACTTATTTCCTGCTTTTTCATGTCGGTAAAAGATAGAACTTCCGAATTTCACGCTGCTGTGGAATCGATCCGTTCAAGGTCTTCAAATGGTCACGGTGGCTTTCAGGCAAGGCACAATTTGGAACATCGTCGACCTTTGCTGGGCGGTAATAATACCGGAGGCAAACCTATTAATGGTTCGAATGGGTTAAATAAAGGTGAATTCTCAAGAATGGCTGGAGCAATTGGGAAAGATATTAATATAACGGCAGCAAAGTTACAGAAATTGACGAAATGTATGTAAGATTAGACTTTATTTAAGATTTTAATTATACGTTGCTTTAATTATATTCAATTTATTTAATTTTTTTATTTTTAATTTTTTTTTTTTTTTAGTGGCTAAAAGGAAAACTTTATTTGATGATCGACCCGTTGAGATTAGCGTGAGTTCAATTTACGATTTATTATTATTCACGCGAGAATATCTATCACTCAAAAAAAAAATATATATATATGCATATATTTTTAAAAAAAATTTTTTTGTCCCATTATTTTATGTTGGCTTTACCTGCTCCTGTTGTCATTTGAACAGGAATTGACCTATATAATCAAACAAGACATTGCAAAAATAAATAAGCAAATAGCCCTTCTTCAACAATATGTTCGTGATCATAAAAAGAATAACAGACAAGCTGATGAACATTCTTCAAATGTGGTTGTCATGTTGCAATCAAAATTAGCTAGTACTAGTATGGGCTTTAAAGATGTGCTTGAAATTCGGACTCAGGTATATTATTTAGTATTAGGATATACAATCGTTTACTGCCATAATTTTCAGTTGTATTCACTTAAATAAATATTTAGAATATGAAAGAAAGTAAAGATAGAAGGGAACAATTTATGTTTTCAAGTAGTCAACATGCTAATATTCCAGCAGGTTTGTGAACCATCGTCAGCTTAAGTAAATAATCTTTCAAAAAGTTATTAATATGTATTATTTTCCAAAATAGCAAATTCGCCGCTATACAACACGCAGAGACGCAATGAGCATCAAAATACTGATTTTCTTGCTCTTGATATGTCGTCAGGTCAGGTTCAGCAACAACAATTGCAGTTCATTGAACAACAGGTATACAGAATGCTATTTATTTATTTATTAATTAATTTTATTAATTCAGATAAAATCTGATAATACATATATATATATTTATTATTTTACAAGGATAATTATATTGAAAGTCGTGCAACTGCTATCGAATCAATTGAATCTACTATAGCTGAGCTCGGTAACATTTTCCAACAACTTGCACAAATGGTAGCAGAACAGCGAGAGACTGTTCAAAGGTATTAATTTACCAATAAGAATATGTGTACCATTTCATATTGAATACTAATTTGACTAATTCTAATTAACAGAATCGATGCAAACACCGATGACATTCAAACACATGTAGAAGGAGCACAAAAAGAGTTGCTTAAATATTATGCAAGCATCTCTTCAAACCGCTGGCTTATGGTTAAGATATTCGCGGTGATAATATTCTTTTTCTTGATCTTTATTCTCGTTACTTGAGAAAGTATCCCCTCCTTATTCTTTTCCTATCGAGTTTATTTTCAGTTTGTTATTACCTTTCACGTGTAAATAACTGGACAGATGAATATGTGAAGATATTTTTAATGTTTGGCCCCTTAGTAGTTTGAACATTTACTTGTAATTTTAGACAAAGAAAATGTATAATCATGTGATGTATCAAACAAAAATTTATCTTACTCTAGAATTAATCTTACATAATCATTAATTGATTACTAAATATTTCTATAATCTGGATGTAATTATGGGTAATGACCATATTTATAATTTGATTTGATTGGAAAAATCCAATATACAATAGTGACTAAATAGTCGACTCTATCTAGGTGCACTTCGGCGAATCATAATAATATAATTTAGTAAAGTCACATTTAATGAAAAGCAGCACTTAGAAAAAAGTAAAATGTGTTTAGATATGTAAAACCAATATTGTTTTAGAAATGTTTTATTTAAAGAGAGTGTACTGATAATATGTTGTGGTTAATACGTATTGTGAATTGTGCCTATTTAATATATTCTACTTAATAATATACAAGTGGACCTTTGTATAATCATCAAGTTGGTCATTTGGGCTAATTTTGTCGAGATAAATGTACACGGTAGAGCTTGGAACCGGCAGTTAAAACCGGCTTTAGTCTGTTTTAACATATGAAAAATAAAACCGGCTCCAAACTATGAAACTGGTGAAACTGGTGAAATTTAATATAACAGCCAATTAGATTTTAGTTAGTCACCAGTTTCACCAGCATCTTAGGATACTTTCTAATCTAATGACGTGAACGTCAATTAACTGTCTAATATCTAAGAACTTTCATATGATTGGCTGTTTAAATCAATTTAATTTTATATTTTTATATATTTTTTAAAAACAATAAAACTACAAAGAATAAAACAGTATATAGAAAGTTTTAAAAGTTTTGTTAGAGTATACAATTGAAAATAATCAAAATCTTTTATGTTAGAGAAGTTAGCATGATAATAACTTATTTTTCAGAAGTTAACTTCTTTAAAGCAAAATTATGTACTGTATTTTTAATTGTATTATAAAAAAACCTTATTCTAGACTATTTTTAACTCTCACCCTAAACTTTAACTTTTTTTAAATATTAATTCTAATTTAATTAAAATTTAAGTATAAATTATAGGTGGTTAAAATTTATATTTTAACCAGGGGTTTAAGTTAGTTAAATTCTTCTTTAAAAACTATAAAATTAAATTTGATTTAAACAACCAATCATTATATAATTTATCATTATCTTATCATATCGTTATCTTTTATTTTAAAGTTGGACTGTTGTACAATTTCGAATTATATCATGTGAGAATCTAATTAATCACGAATTAACAAGTTAAACGTTAATTCGTTAATATCGTTAAACGAATTAGCGTTATAAATAAATGCTCGATTTGCATCAAAAATTTTAGCTGTTTTCAACTGTAAAATCGAAACGACTCTTCACAAGATGACACAAGATAAAGTAATCTTAGTTACCGGTGGCTATGGGCTCGTTGGAAAAGCCATTGAATGGGTAATTGAAAATGATCAAGGAAAGTTCGGTAAGATGGAAGGCGAAAAGTGGGTTTTCCTCACCAGCAAAGATGGTGATTTGAGGTAAAAGTTGTTCTCGCTTTAAGACTCATATTAATATTATTTTTAATAATTTTTATGGTGTCTAACTGGTGATTTTATACCATTCTTTTATATTATTTAGGTCTGCTGAAGCTACTCGCGCAATTTTTGACAAATATAAGCCGACTCACGTGATACATTTAGCCGCTCTTGTCGGTGGACTCTTTAAAAACATGAAATATAAATTAGATTTTTTACGTGATAATTTATTGATCAACGACAACATATTGCATACTGCGCATGAACATAAGGTTAATATGAAAATTTTCTTTCGCGATATTTTCAACAAAAATTGTGAATGACCGTCGTTTTTTTCTCTAGGTTAAAAAAGTTGTATCGTGTCTATCTACTTGTATCTTCCCAGACAAAACAACCTATCCAATCGATGAAACCATGATACACAATGGACCTCCACACGATTCCAATTTTGGCTATGCATACGCCAAACGCTTGATTGATACACAAAACAAGTATGTCAAAAATATGTTGGCATTGTTGTTTACCATTTCATATATATAACTTTGTTCTTTTGTTTAGAGCATATTATGATCAATTTGGTGATAAATTCACCTCGGTTATTCCAACTAATGTGTTTGGTCCTCATGATAATTACGATTTGCAAGATTCGCATGTCATTCCCGGATTAATCCATAAATGTTATCTCGCTAAGAGTATGTATAATAGTATTTTCATGATCTATTTTAAGATTGTTTATATAAAATTAATAATATATATATATTTATATATTTATTTTATCATTCAGAGAATAAAACTCCATTTGTAGTTGCTGGTACTGGTAAACCTCTTCGTCAATTCATTTACTCGCGAGACCTTGCAAAATTGTTTATTTGGGTACTCAGGGAATATGATGAAGTTGATCCTATTATCTTATCAGGTAATAAAAATTCTTACCGTTTGAAATTGTCACCCTTTTTTTGATTTTGGAACTAACGCTTTTTGTTTTAGTCGGTGAGGAGGATGAAGTATCTATTAAGGATGTGGCAGATGCAATTGTAAATGCTATGGATTTTAAAGAAAGTTACTCTGTAAGTTTATATATATGTATATATACAAGTCACTCTCGTTACAGTGAAGTGATCGGGCTGTGAAATCTTCTTCACTATATCGAGAGTCTATTAGTAAATTCACTATATTGAGAGAGTTTTTATATAAACTGTTCTTCAATATAACGAGAGTTCATTATAACGAGAGTGACTTGTATATATATTATGAAATTATTACCTTTTAATTTTCAATATATTAATCATTATTTATTTAAAAGTTTGATACCACTAAAGCTGATGGCCAATACAAAAAGACTGCCAGCAATGAAAAATTATTAAAATATCTTCCTGATTTTAAGTTTACCCCATTTGAAACTGGTAAGATATTAATTTTTTAATATAATTTAATTTTTACACAATTTATACATTGCTAACATTTTTATTTATTTTAATAAAAAAAGCTGTTAAAGAATCTGTTGAATGGTTTATTCAGAATTATGATAATGCGCGTACTGGAAAGCATTAATATTTTAAATAGATGTTATAAGTTAAATAAATAGAATTTTAATTAGTTTTGGTAAATAACTTTAAATTTATTGAATAATTATTATTATTAAAGAAATTTATTCTATTCATATCTACATTAAATTTTCATATTATTTTTCAAGATTTTTTTTTTTTAGTTTAATTTGTTATACAAGATTTTATTAATTTTTCATTAAGCCATATCTTGTAATATATGATGGATAGCAAGAGTTTAATGTAAGATAGTATTGATAAAACTAACAACAAATTAAGTGATTAATAATTGTCGCGGATGATGTGAATTCGGATGATGGTGAAATTTGAGTTTCAGTTTGAAAATATAAGCCTTACCAAAATCTACCTAACCCATCGTACAATAATAAGTTAGGGGCAATATACGGATGGATTTGATTGGTTAATGATCACATTCAGATCAACAAATTGGTTAATGTCACACGCGTTAAATGTCTCGATTTGATGAAAATTTAAGATATAAACAATTATATTTTTCGTGTTTATAATAACTATGGAAGTGAAAACGGCAAATAGAGGAAAGATATCGCTTAAAGGCTCTACTAAATTAGTAGTAGAATTTTTTGGTAAACTAATTTATATTATAATCGTTAGTGTGATCTAATTTTAATCTCTAACTACCAACGAAATCATAGAATTTGCTTTGACTAGGTAAAAATATTATATTATTTCGTTTATTTTAATGGATTTCAATGATGCTAAAGCGGAAAATAGTATTTTTTTTCAACGTGGAGTTTATCCTGCTGAAGACTTTAAATGGGTAAAGAAATACGGACTAAATGTTTTAATGACACTCGATGACAATGTTAAACTGTATTTAAAGAGGTTGTTAAATCAAATAGAAAGTAAGTGATATAATTAAAATTTTAGTAATTTTCCTTTTCTTTCATATATTATACTTATGAAATTATTTAGGTTGGTTGATGGCTGGTAAAGTAGATAGGCTTGTTCTGGCAATCATCTCATGCGAAACACGCGAGACGCTTGAAAGATGGCAATTTGAAATTGAAATCATCGATGAAAATAAAGCACAAGACAGTTCCACGTAAGGCTATTTGTTTTAGGATGCTAAAATCAATAATATTCACATCTTCTACATGATTAACATTAACTGTTACAAAGAAGAAAAGACAAACCATATGACGAAATACAAAAAGAAATTCAAGGAATTATCCGTCAAATAACAGCCAGTGTTTCATTTTTACCAGTTCTAGAAGATAAATGTATGAAAAAATATATACTTTTTTTATCTTGTACGATGACATAATTTATCTAGTTTTCTTGATTGAACAGGCACGTTCTCTATATTGGCTTACACGGATAAAGATATCGAAGTGCCGGCTGAATGGAGAGATGGTGATCCGCATCTTATACCAAATGCCGAACAAGTTAGACTTCGATCATTTTCGACGATGGTACATAAAGTGCACGCACAAGTTGCATATAAATTGGGTGATGAATGTTAAAGTTAGTTTAGGTTTGATTTAGGTTCTAAATTAAAACCTAAGAACCAAGGTTTTATATAATAAGTTTCAAGTCCGTGTTAGACCCGGTTTTTAATCTTTTGTACAGTGCAAACAACATTGTTTCAACACTAAATTTATTTAAATTCAAAATACCAAATTTTATTTACAAAACAAACAATAAAAAAATTTTTTTATAAAGTACAGTCATTTTTCTACGTATAATCCACTAATTACGCAGTTTTTATTATGCCAATTATAGTCGAGGATATACCAAAAATGGGGTTCGTTAAAGCAGGGTAACTATTGAATGTAGCGTTCCCACAAAAAATTGTTCATTTCCGGTAATTTGGACCAATCAAATTTAAGATCTGGTGTAAAACAAATGTGTTTCGTTTTCCAAGTAAAAGTTACGTGTAAAATGAAAACAAAGAAACCGTGTCATAGTTAGGGTTAGGATTAGAACAATATAGCGCCCATTAGTAAAACATCACGAGAAACATTTTTAATTAGGCCGCAGAAGGTGGTTCCTAATTAAAATTAAGGCTAATTGTATAAGCTGCTTAACTAAGTAATGTATAAAAAATTTTATAAAAATTATACTATCTGAATATTTGTATAATTGTTATACAAAATTTTATAATTTATTGGTTAAATCAATTATTATAAAATGCATCTATGGTGGTTTTGCACCTATTATATGTTTTTATTATATTTTTTAAAATTTTTTAAGTTTTTATAAGTTTTGTATATAAAATTTTTAATACCAATTTTTTCATATTAAAGTTAATATTAAGGTTAGAATTAGGATTTGGAAAGGGTTTTTGGAGGCATAGAATATTTTTACTTAGAACGCCTTATATCAATCAATTAATTAGCCAGTTTTTGAGATAATACAATATAGATAGTAAAACACTATAGATGTATTTTAGTAAAAGTGGGTTAAATTATAAAATTTAATAATTTTATTAATATTTTTATATAATTTAATTTTTGTAAATAAATATTTAGGGTTTGGGTCCCATAGTTTAGTGGTTAAGCTCCCAAACCCCACAGACAAGGTCAATGATTTGAATCAGGCTAAAGACAAATTTTAATAAAATTTGTTTCTGTAATCTATAGGGTTATAAATCGAATATAAAGTCTTGTAGAAAGTTTAAGTATAATATAAGACCAGAATAAGAAGTTCCTGAAAAGAGACCAGGTTGTGAAGTGCAGGCACTATGTGTAATAGCAGCATCACAGAAGGTCTAGGCAGTAAAAGATTGTATATATATAAGTCTTCTGGTTAGGGTGACTTAGAGGCAATACCAACATCTCATCACCTTCATATTTGGCAATACCAACATCCCTACACCCAACTTGTGGAGTACTTGCTTGGAAAGATAATCAATTAATTGTATATATAAGTTCCAATATGTTAATAGTATTGGGTACTTGCTTGGAAGAGTAATACAATACTACCAAAACTAAAATAGTGAGAGAAGCAGTGATATATGATTACAGTTTGTGATAAAGGATTATACCTTAACTGAAATTAGAAGTACCTTTGGCATTAGTAGAATGATTATAGAAGACTACTCGGTATAGAGAAAAAGTAAGCTATTCTGTATGTCTAAAGATACCAATTTGAAGCTCTGAACATTTCTATATAGAAGTCTATGATGAAAAAGATTAGGATATACTAGTACGAATAATTAGAAGTATATAGTGCTATAGTTGCTATATAATTCAAGAGGTCCTCATAACTAAAGATCTTGATAATATACTATATAAGGGAGTATATAAAGGGTAGTAATGTATATTGTACTAGATAACTAAGGAAATATTAATATCTAAGGATGGCAAAATGATAGTAGTAGCAGGGTCTGGTTTAAAATATGAGTATACATGCTAATGAAATTATTTTAGGTTTTGGTATACAAAATTAAAATTTAAAGATGAAATTGTTTTTGACCTATATAGGTCAAATGAAGCCATATCGGGAATATACATGTCAGATAAATATCGAAAACATATCAGAAGTCAATATGTCACTGATATTAGTTATTAAAAATTATAGACCTATCGAAATAATCGATAGGCCTATCAGAAATCCCGATATAGCTATCAAAATCTTCATAAGTATTCTGAAATGTCTAAAAAATATAGATATAAAATCAGTAAAGTTTTTAACAAGCGATAAAACTATCGATTAATCATAATGCAGATAGTTAGGTAAATATCGATACATATCAGAAACTGATATGTCTCTGATATTAATAAAAAAAATCAGTAAATATTGGCTTACTTCGATATTGCTATTGATAGTCTGATAGCAATATCAGTATAAACCGATATTTTTTAATGTTAATAAAAAAATCAAGTTTTCCGTAGTATATAGTTATATAGCAAAATTTTGCATCTTTTGGATGCATATGGTGAAGCAAAAGTTTAAATGCATATTGAAACTTCGTATGTTATATCTTTGCATTCGAAGTAACACTTGCTTCTGTTTTTTGTATCGCATAAGATTGTTAGTCTAACTTTTAATGTGTGATATAGTGATTTATTTTCTCATGGTCGTTGTTTAATTGTTGATCTTGATTGCTGTTAGATCCTGATTCTGAAGATCCGATTTCTATTTCTGTATTATTGATTTTGAACTATTTGTCATTACCTATAACACAATCGAACAATGCTTGTAAAAATCATATATGTTTGATTTCTCAAATTTGCATTTACTCTTTATTATCTGATATTTATAAAATCATAGTTTTGTATATAAATTGATTTAATTTTCTTGTCAAATGATTTTTGTCTCCCAAATTATTTGGCTTAAACAATTATTTGAATATAGTAATTGATTGTATT